ACCAACTGCCAACAGGAACTAATAGATTTCAAATAGGGCAGAGAAGAGCGGTTAAAAACAAACTGCTCCAAATTGCTCACTTCACTGGCGGTTGCCATCTTCAAACGGTCGTAAAAACTATAAATCCTACAGTGAAGAGCTTTATATTGTGAGAATCACAAGACCCAGACCTACATTTTGATGCATACTATGTCTCTGAAATATTAAAAATGAAGGCACAGTCGCAGTTTAGAAATTGCCCTTCAAATTTGAGCTGGCTAGAGTGGAGTTTCAATGAATGTCAATGGACGGCGTGAGTTGCAAACAAATGGTCATATTGTGAAAACTATCAGGACTATGGCTTAGCCGTGGACATGTTTAGTGGCAGCAGGGATAGCTGAACGTTTTGATATAAGATTTGTGTAGGTGGGCTTGAAAATGAGGGAGTGGTGGCAGTTTAGAAATCATGTCCTTGCTAATAATGGGTGATGCTAAACTAGTGAACTTAATAAGTAGGGGTGTCCACATACTTTAGGTCTATATAGTGAGTGTATTTATACCCTTAGAATGCTCCTTCTAATAGGGAAGTGGTCCAGCAGAAAGTGCATGTGTCCATTCTATCAGCAATTCACATAGTTTCCTTTTAAAATCTCTTCTAACTAAATGAATAAAATACATTCAGAAAGTGTGCATTGCTCAGTATTTAGGTGAAAATTAGCTTATCAACTATTTAAGAATTTATGCATCAGCTCTGTGAGTCAAGAAAAACGCTAAAACTCACTATTACATGTGAGTGTGACATCTAGTGGCAATTTAATAATATTGCACTCTGCAGATTCATTATATACTAGAGATCTGTTTACTAATAACTAGAGGCCCATGTATGATACTCCCAAGTATCCTTGAGACAATGACAGGGTTTTTCACTAAAGTTCCTGCTGGGATATTAAATTTCAAATTCACACTGAATCCTTGACAGTTCTCAGTGAATAACCCTGGACTAGATCAGAGTAACTTCAGCAACTCTTGCAGGGATACAGTTATAGATGTTGGTCTGGCATTGCGGTTGGCACTAAGCCAATTGGCTTATTTCTTTATTAAGTGTTCTTGCATAGCAAGACCACTTAATACTAGAAAAGCTACAATTTCTGTGGAAATTGTGTGAAGTGTTCTTGCCTCCACCAGTAGTCTACAACTGGAGTGGGCAGAGTAACTGGGTGGAGTGGCTTGAGTAACTGTTGTGGGGTTGGAGTGGCTGGAGTAACTGTGGAAAGGTTGGAGTGTGGTTTACTCACTCTACAGCAAAGGCCGAGAAGAGCTTTCAAATCCCTTGAACATAGACCAGCTCTCTAACGTGGGGAATCCCGTAAATCCCCACGCTAGAGAGCTGTTCGTAAGTGCCAGCCGTCGTAAAACAGGTAGGATGCAAAGTAAGGATCACCTGTAATAATAATCATTGAAAGCTTTGCCTATTTGTTTTGAAAACCGGCATTCTTCCTCTTTATATATGATTTTTGACATTTTATTTAGTTTTGATTTATTTTTAATTTTATTAGTGAGCAGTGTATCTGCTCTATTTCCTTTATAATAAAAAGTGTTTTTAGTCTCTCTCTAGAGTTTTACTTACTTTGTTCATTAGATGGTCATTCTTTTTGTTTTTTTACATCTGTGATCTTGTTTGTTAATGATTCAGACGGGGATACCTTGTTATCTTTAGAGAGGTTGTATAATTGAATATATAAATCCGCTAACTCCTTCTCTCTATATTCCTTGTTCTTTGCTGCACTCTAAATTATTATTGCTCAGAATAGAGAGCACTACAGAGTTCCAAACTACCTCTAGAAGCAACATTAGCTCAAGAAGTGTGCAGCGGAAGCTTCAAGAAATGGTTTTCCATGGCTGAACAGCTTTATACAAACCTACCAGTAACATGTGCAATCCCAAGTGCCTGCTGGAATGATGTAATGCACATTGCCACTGGACTCTGAAACAATAACTATGTTCTCTGGAATGATGCATCATGTTCTATCTATCTATCTATCTATCTACAAAATCTGGGTGCGGTGGATACTGAATAGTGCCTCTAGAATATATAGTGTCTACTGTAAAGTTTTGTGGAGGAGGGATAAAGATCTAGGGCTATAGTTCGGGGACCGGTCTAGAGTAAAAATGGAACATTAACCCCTTAAGGACCAAACTTCTGGATTAAAAGGGAATCATGACATGTCACACATGTCATGTGTCCTTAAGGGGTTAAAGACATTTTTTAAAATTGGTTGCTTCCAACTTTGAAATAACAGATGGAGGAAAGTCCTTTCCGGTTTCTACATGGCTGTGCCCCTGGTCCTAAAGGAAGTCCATGAAGACATAGTTTGCCGAGCTTTGTATGGGGGCACTCGGACGGCCTGCATAAAGCCTGGACATGAGCCCCACTGGACAGCTTTTGGATAAACTGGAACTTTGGTTGTGAGCCGTATCTCACAAATTCTCTATTGGCAGAATGTGCACGATTTTCCAACTCTATATTAATGTCCATGGTTTTGTAAAGGGATATCCAACAAGCTCATATAGGTGTGATGATTAGGTGCCCACCTACTTTTTGCCATATGGTGTATACATATTTATAACCATCACTAGGATGATCTCGGGTCACTCCCCCCAGTGCAGTAGCTACAATGATACTTTACCCTTTACCCCGTGATCAAAACTCATGCGCTGTTGACACAAATGTAATTTGCAAACACCTCCACGGATTTGGTGCTGAAATGATGCACTGCTTGACAACGTAATTATATCTTAATCACACGTAACACTGCATAGCTTACTATAATATAGCTTGGTTATATAAAAATTATATTGTATTAAAATATTGTTAAAAACCTATCTAAAGGAATGTGTGACTTTCACGTAATGCTGTGTCTATTTTTATTCATTAGTTTTAGGTTCTCATTATACAGAACACGAGTAACTTCTTTTCATCTCTAAATGAATTATGTTCCTATAAAATACAAATGGATTAGAACATAATAATTATATAAAAATGAATGGGAAAAGATCGGTTTTATTCACTTCATAGTGAATTTCAGAGAATTAAAAAATGTAATGTAAAATTTAGACTAGAATTGCCAAAGTTATCCAAAATCAGCACTTTTTATCTAATAGTTTAGTTTTACTATAAATTGTTTGAGTCGCTTATGGTGCTTATTTTACCACTGGAAATTAAAACCAAAAAATCTGCTTTGTGCCGTTTGTTATCCTGTCCCTGTCCCAAGCTCCCCATAAACTCTCCAAATACCTTCCAAAGCGGACTCAGCCGTGTCTGATGAAGAAGTTGCATAAACGAACGTGAAAGTAAAAAACATCCTTGATAAATGATACAGATGGGAAAGCGGCAAGTCTTTAAAAAACTTACAGTAATTTAAAAACCAACAAACCCACAGATCAGGAAATGAAACCCCCCAGAATGGAACCGAAAACAGCATTAATTCCCATAACCTAGTTAATGTGGTTATTTGTCATTTAATATAGAAACAACTCTTTAAAGAGCAAGAATAGTAAATAAATAAACATATTACATATGGGGTTACAGTATAAAGTGAACAGGTCCATAGCTAGGGGTTGGCAAAACCAGCCCCCACTGGGTTTGCAGGCCAAAGGGGGCGCAACAATCAATGTCAGCAGGCCAGCACTATCCAAGCACCAGCCCTGCTCTGTGCCATGAGGGCCGGCACTAAACTGGCAGAGAAGGGAGAGATGACCCGGGGCCTCTAGCCTGCAGCTCTGCCTGTTTTTCTTGAGAGCTTAGAGCCATGAAGTAATTTCGAGAGACAAGTCCAATTTGCAGTGATTTGAAGTAGTCCTAGTGCCTGAAGTCTGTGTGTGCAGCGTTTTGCTTTAAAATGTCCGACAGCTTCTTTGGGGTGTCATCAGCCAGCCTGGAACTAGAGTTCAGGACTGGCTAATGTCAATTCTGTGCAACTTTTATTGCACAGAAGTTCATTCATTGGCTGAGAATGGTAGCTGACACTCTCAGCCAATCAACAGTGATGACTGTGGCTTCCATCTTTTGCAGCTCCGCAGAAGCCAGAAGTGCATCGCTGTACCACAAGGGAACATTGGAGCCTAGCGGGCAACCAGGTAAGGGGGCAAACCATTATTGGGGAACTGAAAACAAGCCCATCATCTTGGCATTATGTTCAACAGGAGTTAATGGAATATGTAGTTATAAGAACTGAGTGCAGGACAGAATGACTGGGGATGTCCATGAACCATAAACATATTTTGATTTGTGCATATATTGCATTGATCTTTTTCCATAATTATTCTGTACCATGAGATTAGGGCTAGCAAGAGGCAGGTTTTCTAATCCTTCTGTAAGGAATTCTGAATGTCAATACTTTCTTTGTTCATTCATTGCTTCACACACAGATCCTGTAACATTTCTCCACAAAAAGAAGAAATATATATGTATACATTCCATCGTGGTTTATCCATTTGTTGAGGTTCAGTCAGCAGCAGAACTACTGCTGGTGCAGGCCACACCGGAGTCCACTAGCTAGGCACATTGGGTGGCTCTCACACTTAGGGCCACCTGATGGTTTCTTCCATCAGGGGCCCAACCCAGGACTGCGGCCTTTTAACGGCAACACTGGGCTCCCTTCAGTTTGACAGTTTGGCCACAAAGCTCGGAGGAAGTAAATACAGGTCACTTTCTATCAGATTACACAGAGCCAAATGGGGGGAATCCTGGATCAACTCCACACTCTCATTATCCTTAAGCAGCACGTGCTGCAGTAAGCCAACTCCACCCAAAAGGTACGGAAACTTGAGAGTGGGTAAAACTATGTACATTATGACGTATATGTGTTTGTGTGTCAGTGTGTATGCCTATCTGACAGAGCTTAGAAAATATACAAATACGCACATAAAAAATTGAGCACAAATAAAATCAATGAAAGTTGCTTCGCTTCACACCTTCTGTTTATATGGGGCAGCAAAATCACAATTTATTAAGGCTTCATATTTATATATAGAACTGTCTGGATATTATTTCATTTGATGCCATCTGCAATGTAGGCAGAACCACTGCAAAACCTTTTACCACCCTACTCAAAAATTCAGTTTGCCACCACCGTTATGTAGCTGTAATCTCCAATTGGTTATTTGAAAAAAAAAAAAATGATCATGTCTACATTGCAAAATAACAGAAAAAGAAAATGAAAGAAATATATAGAAAATGCATTATACACAAATAGTCCCCTGACTGATAAACAGAGCCCGGAGTTTAACCGTTTCAGTTCATTTTGATGTAGTGCAGTATAACCTAACCTTACATTTATGGTTTTTTTCCCCCCTCCCATTGAGTTATAAATAGCTGATAGTCAAGCAAGGCTCCCAACTGTCTCGGAGTCAGCAGGATAGTCCCTATTTCAGAATCCTGTCCTGCAGTCCTGATTGTGTTCCAGTGTCCACAGCAGCTTGACACCAAAACCTCTCCTGAAAAATGATCATATCAGCTATCCTTTTAATCTACATTCATGCTTTTCACAATACACTGTGGCACCACCTATGGCAGAGTGGGGCGCTCTGTTTGCCACCCGGTACTGTAACATGTCTCTTATCCATTAATATTGACTGGTCCTCTGAAGTATTATTATTCTTAGTATTTTGCACGCCTTGGGGTTACATATACTGCATGGTTGAATTGTACGTTGAGTTCCAGAGACATGTATAATTTACTTCATACCAATGTGTATTATGTTAAAACTTGTCTTGCAATGTAATGGGAGGTTCATGTCTCTGTTCATAGATGGAGTGAGTGCTCATAGAATCTGGAAATAAAAGGTAGAGATATATGTAGATCACAATTTAATTTATCATCAAAGAAATTGAAAGCAGCAGAGCTTTACGGTACACTGCCTGATTGCATCGGCAGCCCTTATTACGCCATTTGATTGGGATGGTGCCCTGCCAAGGATTTTGCTTTCTCTTTGCAGAAGTTTAAAAAATGTCTTCAGGTTAGATGAACGCTCATCTCAGATGCTTCACACACAGAGTCTCTGGACATCTCTCCACAGCAGGTGTAGGCACCATCGTTGTAATCACCCTGGTGGTTCATCCAAATTTCAAAAGCACAGCAAATGTCGTAAGCCGTTAGAGAGGTATTTTTGTGCGTCTTGTCTGAGTTTCCTGCGTCACATTCTGTGGATGCTACAAAGTATTCATATCCCAGAGCATGTGATGCTTCATATATCAGTGTCCCTGGAAGGGATCCTGGTCCTAAATACTCCTTTTGTCTGTAAAAACTTGGCGATAAGTTAATTGTGTTCAGACTTTCATTATAGCTTTTCCAATCTGATATCTCAATACTTTCACCCTCCTCTGTCTGCAATTTATCCATGAGGTTTTGCACGAGGCTGGGACTGATCAGAGGAACTTTTTGAAACCTTTTTCGTTGTCGAAGTTCTTCAGGTTTGTCCACCAACAGGCTGTGCCTTTTATCCAAAGCGTCGGCCAAGATAAGAAGAGTTCTTTCTGTTACTTTGTCAACTGGTCTTTTATTGCGACTTTTTGACCGCTGTTTGAAGTCTCTGAAACACACACAAATAAAAACGTGAATGTATCACAAAGTATGTTTGCCGAGCTTGGCTGATAAATTCTTGCCTACTTTATGGATGTTTAAGTTTCATTGCTCATTTTGCCTTTTCACTTCAATGTCACCCCTTCCTGTACACAAACCACATTATTTTATGACAGCATTGATGGGATTTTTTGAAGGAACACTACGAGTAAATTAGCGGTAAATTTACCCAATAGAAACTTTTAGTCTAGATTTACATTTCTTTCCCCTAATAATACAATGAAGTGTAATTTATTAAGTGTATTTATTAAGAGCGTATTCATTCATTAAATCTTACTTAAACTTTGCATGCAGCCATTTTGTTATAATGTTTCTATTTGCAAGCGGAGTCTCACATAGAGATCTGTAGAGACTGCAAACCCTCCTCTTCTAACCCCTCCCAGACTTTGTTGTCCAATCACAGGCTTCCCAATGCAGCTTAATGAGATGTCTTTATAAGTCAGGTGCTCTGGGCAATTGCTGCCTCTTGAGGTCAGCAGCATTGAGCTAACGAAACCAGGAAGAAGCGGCGTACATACCGCGGTCGCAGGGGTCGCAGCTGTGACCGGGCCCGGCACTCCAGGGGGCACGGCCGCCCTGCGGACCCCTGCGACTGGGTACCAGCTGCCACGTTTTGCGGCCCCCGGCCCGCTCGGCAAACCCATGCTGTCAGGGCCACCCGATGGATATGGATTATCAGGGGGCCCGGTCAGCGCTGGGCGCTTTAACAGTGATTACATCACAAGCTGGGAGGACGTGATTCCCCGGTCACTCCTCCCAGCTATCAGGACCCACGCGAGAGGAAGGAGGAGGAGGAGGAGGGAGTCAGAGTGGGAACTCTGACTTCCTTGAGGCTGAGCCCCCAGGGAAAGTCACAAGGTAGGAAACATTTTGTATGTCTCTGTATGTGTCTGTGTCTCTGTATGTGTCTGTGTCTCTGTATGTGTGTCTGTGTCTCTGTATGTATGTGTGTGTGTCTGTATGTTTGTGTCTCTGTATGTGTGTCTGTGTGTCTCTGTATGTGTGTGTCTATGTATGTATGTATGTGTGTGTCTCTCTGTATGTGTGTGTGTCTGTGTCTGTGTCTCTGTATGTGTGTGTATGTATGTGTCTGTCTGTGTATATATTTGTGTGTCTGTATGTATGTGTCTGTCGGGTGGTGTATGTGTGTGTGTCTGTCTTTGTATATGTTTGTGTGTGTGTGTCTGTATGTATGTGTCGGTGGGTATGGGGGGGGAACGGATTGGGGGGAAAGAGGGGGGTAGGGGGCCCACGGATCAGTTTCACACCGGGGCCCCATGGATTGTGTGTACGCCAATGCCAGAAAGTAACATTACCTGTTGTCTTCTTCAAAGCCAAGGGGCCGTAACCAGGTTGATTTATAAAAGTGTCAATTTCTATTGAAACCTGCACTTTTTACTAAATTAAAAAAAGAGGACACTCTTCACACATAAAGCTTTTCAGCAAGCTGAAGTTGTTTAGGGGGTCTGGAGTGACCCTTTAAGCTCACATTTTCTCCTATATTTATAACACGTCCTCTAGGGGATGCCACCTCAGCCTGGTTTCCATTGCTAATGATGTTGCACACATAACAAACAGAGACACTGCACTCAATAAGATCCATACTGGAGTGCTCTCCCAAAGTACAGAGTGAAAAAGCGTGAAAGAATAAAAACTAAACTCTAATGAAAAGAGAACAAACAAGTATAATGGGTCTGAAGTCAAACACTAATCACACTCAGCCAGCCATTTTGAAACATTGTCCAAAATATAAAGGAAAAGAGTGTAATGGATTTAAGATCAGACTTCTATAGCTCTAAGTCATCCTCATATATAAAGCAAGAGAGAAGTAAGAAATATTAAACAAGGCGACCTTGCAAACCATCCATAAAGAATAAAAAACGGAGAACTCAAAACAGCAAACGAGATCCTTAAATGCAAATCAGAAAATAGTATTAACACATAAAGTTAGAATCACTGAGAAGAACACGTGCATTTCATAAGCAAAGTGTCATCGATGAAGCAGTATATCAATCTCTTAAGGAGGTAAAGCGTAAATTATGACCGGCAAGCTAAAATGCTGAATAGCAGGAAAAGCAGCGGAATGAAAACGAAGCTGAATTACCTCCAACTCTTCGGAATCCGAGGATCTAACCTGAAAGAACAAATAATAATTAAATTCATTGTTTAGCCCTTCAGGATACAAAGAATGCAGCACATGTATCTAATACTTCTCCCTACGCTCCAGCAATCGCAACCCGTCTCCAATCCTACGTAAGGAGGGACATGATGCAACGTTTACTATCTCAACTGAGGGACATTATGGTAAGTGTTTAGGAACAGGACGTCCCACACGCACAGGTGATCTTTCCTTCTCATTGTAGTCTCACAAAAAAAAAATCAACTTCAGCTCAGCCACTTTGGCCCTAAATTTGAAATCTCTGGCTCTGATCCCAGTTTACCCCAGCAACGCTGTCTGTCTCACTCCTGCACCCCACGTATTTAGGTAATCTCTGGCTCTGATCCCAGTTTACCCCAGCAACGCTGTCTGTCTCACTCCTGCACCCCACGTATTTAGGTAATCTCCGGCTCTGATCCCAGTTTACCCCAGCAACGCTGTCTCTCTCACTCCTGCACCCCACGTATTTAGGTAATCTCTGGCTCTGATCCCAGGTAACCCCAGAAACGCTGTCTGTCTCACTCCTGCACCCCACGTATTTAGGTAATCTCCGGCTCTGATCCCAGTTTACCCCCAGCAACGCTGTCTGTCTCACTCCTGCACCCCACCGGTAATCTCTGATCCCAGTTTACCCCAGCAACGCTGTCTGTCTCACTCCTGCACCCCACGTATTTAGGTAATCTCCGGCTCTGATCCCAGTTTACCCCAGCAACGCTGTCTGTCTCACTCCTGCACCCCACGTATTTAGGTAATCTCCGGCTCTGATCCCAGTTTACCCCAGCAACGCTGTCTGTCTCACTCCTGCACCCCACGTATTTAGGTAATCTCTGGCTCTGATCCCAGTTAACCCCAGCAACGCTGTCTGTCTCACTCCTGCACCCCGCGTATTTAGGTAATCTCTGGCTCTGATCCCAGTTTACCCCAGGAACGCTGTCTGTCTCACTCCTGCACCCCGTGTATTTAGGTAATCTCCGGCTCTGATCCCAGTTTACCCCCAGCAACGCTGTCTGTCTCACTCCTGCACCCCACGTATTTAGGTAATCTCCGTCTCTGATCCCAGTTTACCCCAGCAACGCTGTCTGTCTCACTCCTGCACCCCACGTATTTAGGTAATCTCTGGCTCTGATCCCAGTTAACCCCAGCAACGCTGTCTGTCTCACTCCTGCACCCCACGTATTTAGGTAATCTCTGGCTCTGATCCCAGTTTACCCCAGCAACACTGTCTGTCTCACTCCTGCACCCCACGTATTTAGGTAATCCCCGACTCTGATCCCAGTTTACCCCAGCAACGCTGTCTGTCTCACTCCTGCACCCAACGTATTTAGGTAATCTCTGGCTCTGATCCCAGTTAACCCCAGCAACGCTGTCTGTCTCACTCCTGCACCCCACGTATTTAGGTAATCTCTGGCTCTGATCCCAGTTTACCCCCAGGAACGCTGTCTGTCTCACTCCTGCACCCCACATATTTAGGTAATCTCCGGCTCTGATCCCAGTTTACCCCAGCAACGCTGTCTGTCTCACTCCTGCACCCCACGTATTTAGGTAATCTCCGGCTCTGATCCCAGTTTACCCCAGCAACGCTGTCTGTCTCACTCCTGCACCCCACGTATTTAGGTAATCTCCGTCTCTGATCCCAGTTTACCCCAGCAACGCTGTCTGTCTCACTCCTGCACCCCACGTATTTAGGTAATCTCCGTCTCTGATCCCAGTTTACCCCAGGAACGCTGTCTGTCTCACTCCTGCACCCCGCGTATTTAGGTAATCTCCGGCTCTGATCCCAGTTTACCCCAGCAACGCTGTCTGTCTCACTCCTGCACCCCACGTATTTAGGTAATCTCCGGCTCTGATCCCAGTTTACCCCAGCAACGCTGTCTGCCTCACTCCTGCACCCCACGTATTTAGGTAATCTCCGGCTCTGATCCCAGTTTACCCCCAGCAACGCTGTCTGTCTCACTCCTGCACCCCACGTATTTAGGTAATCTCTGGTTTTGATCCCAGTTTACCCCAGCAACGCTGTCTGTCTCACTCCTGCACCCCACGTATTTAGGTAATCTCTGGCTCTGATCCCAGTTTACCCCAGCAACGCTGTCTGTCTCACTCCTGCACCCCACGTATTTAGGTAATCTCCGGCTCTGATCCCAGTTTACCCCAGCAACGCTGTCTCTCTCACTCCTGCACCCCACGTATTTAGGTAATCTCTGGCTCTGATCCCAGGTAACCCCAGAAACGCTGTCTGTCTCACTCCTGCACCCCACGTATTTAGGTAATCTCTGGCTCTGATCCCAGTTTACCCCAGGAACGCTGTCTGTCTCACTCCTGCACCCCGTGTATTTAGGTAATCTCCGGCTCTGATCCCAGTTTACCCCCAGCAACGCTGTCTGTCTCACTCCTGCACCCCACGTATTTAGGTAATCTCCGTCTCTGATCCCAGTTTACCCCAGCAACGCTGTCTGTCTCACTCCTGCACCCCACGTATTTAGGTAATCTCTGGCTCTGATCCCAGTTTACCCCAGCAACACTGTCTGTCTCACTCCTGCACCCAACGTATTTAGGTAATCCCCGACTCTGATCCCAGTTTACCCCAGCAACGCTGTCTGTCTCACTCCTGCACCCCACGTATTTAGGTAATCTCTGGCTCTGATCCCAGTTAACCCCAGCAACGCTGTCTGTCTCACTCCTGCACCGTATTTAGGTAATCTCCCGCTCTGATCCCAGTTTACCCCAGCAACGCCAAGGTTCGTCTCACTCCTGCACCCCACGCATTTAGGTGTAATCTCTCGGCTCTGATCCCAGTTTACCCCCAGTAACGCTGTTCGTCTCACTCCTGCACCCCACATATTTAGGTAATCTCCGGCTCTGATCCCAGTTTACCCCAGCAACGCTGTCTGTCTCACTCCTGCACCCCACGTATTTAGGTAATCTCCGGCTCTGATCCCAGTTTACCCCCAGTAACGCTGTCTGTCTCACTCCTGCACCCCACGTATTTAGGTAATCTCCGGCTCTGATCCCAGTTTACCCCAGGAACGCTGTCTGTCTCACTCCTGCACCCCACGTATTTAGGTACCCTTACAATGCATTCTCATTCTATGTATTTTTGCCTTTAATCTGACAAACATGATTTATTAGTGCAGTCTGCTATTTGTCCAATCCCTCCCATCTCATGTGTCAAACTTTATTGGGGGCAGAGTGGAACCCCTATTTAGCTAAGTCAATGGGGAGCATACAACCAAAAGGAACACAGGCCACATTCCATCTGTGTGCCACTATCCATCCAGTGCCAACTTCAAACAAGTGCCCTGAATCCAAAGAGTTTACCAAAGGAGTTCGCCAAGGAGGGCACAAGGAGAACAGCAGGCGGTGCTTCAATCAACATTGTCATTATCATCCACACTCTGTTGTGCTTGCTGCATTTCTGTTTTGTGTTTTGTACCGAGCCATATGTGTAGTGTAAGTACTAGTTCCTCACCTTATATGCATTATTTGAAACTTATTTATTTTTTCTCCGGTATATATGTATTTTTTTCACTAATATTATGCCACTTTTTATTTCATTTCTTTATTTTATTTTACATCTTATTTCTTTATTTATTTTATTAAATTTTTTTCATTTTTTTCCATTTTCAGTTATTATTATTTACATTCATTTATTTTCTTTGTATAGTTGTGCCAATTAGAGTTATCTATTACCTCACCCCCCATTTGTTTATTTGTCCCCCATCCAATATGAATGTATGTGTTCACAGTGACTGAAGTATGCTGTGTGAAGAAGATTGAAAAAACAGCCAGCCACTTCCGGGTTTCGGCCATGGAACACACATTGGAAGGCATACGTCATCGGACGGCGTGCGCAATGACGTCACGTCGCTCGGATGAAACCGGAAAAAAACCTGTAAAAGATTATTGGACTTTGTGGACATTAGGGGAGGTATAAAAGACTAGGGAGGGAAGGGGGTTTATTATTATTTATTCTGTTTGTTACTGCACACTACCAAAGTCCCTGAGGAAGTCCTATACACGGACGAAACGTGTAGGACCCCTGGTGGTGACTCAGAGATACTACACCCATTGTTTTTAACTTTGATGTAAGTGATTAAATTGATCTTTTATTAAACACTTGATTGTGCACTACAATTTAATTTTTTCTCTCTTGAGTACATACATTCCAACCAACCCATGGTGATTTGAATACAGAGTGAAGATTGAATCCCTGGAAGGATTTTATACTTAAGGCACTTTAACCTCAGTGAATGTGTTAGTGGCCATTTGTGAATACAACACTTTGGTTTACTCATATACACAGTTATACGCTATGTTTTTCTGTTTGTTAATGGTTTAGCAGATCATCCCCTATTTGTTGCATATATTTCGTGGAAGACAGGAGGAAGTCTTTGGGGGTACCTTTTGGAAGCTTCACCTTTTACAGGAAAGTTTCTGTCTGCTAATATATTACTTTTCCCTAATTGTACTTTTTGGTTTGTGTACACACATATTGTGTTTTTCCTACCGCAGCTGGAGGCTGAGCTCCAAGACCAGTTCACAGAGGTGGATCGCAAAAAACAAACTCTTCCTGAACACTGACAAAACTGTCACAATGATCTTTGGAACTGTACCTAAATTACACAAATTACACAATTCCCATCTATCCATCAAAACAAAACAATAGCACACTGACCGAAGTCCACTCTTTCAAATACTTGGGTATGATGTTAGACCCCAATCTATCTTTTGGCCTGCACATAGAAAAGCTTGCATCTAAACTTTATCCAAAATTAGGTGCCCTGTACAGAAACAAAGCCTGCCTAGGCCCTACAGTAAAGGAAAAGATTGTACAGCAAATGCTGATGCCAATCATTGATTATGGGGATGTAGTATATGCAACTGCATCGCAATCCCACATTAATAAACTCAACACATTGTATAACTCGTTCTGCCGATTTGTGCTACAATGTAATTACAGGTCCCACCATTGTGACATGCTAAAAGAACTAAACTGGCTGTCGCTGGAATCCAGACGCACCCTTCATCTTTCCAGCCTTGTGTTTAAGAGCTTTTCTGGGAAGCTCCCACTCTCCCTGAGCAGAATGCTCTCCTCGGCTGTCCCCACCTCCCATAACCTCCGATCCAGTACCAGCACTTTATTTAGTCTACCTCAATACAAAAAGAAAGCAGCCCGATCCTCCTTTTCCTACAGAGCGCCGCAATTATGGAACGACCTCTCGCACACTTTCAAATCTTCCCCAGGCCTAAAGTCCTTTAAGAGATCCCTCTCTACATACCTCAAAACAGAATGCACCTGTCATGGTTGATTATACATTTCCTACCTGTTCTATGTTAAATTTTGTATATATTGTGTATTAATATTGTTTTTGTATTTTATTGTACCCTATTGTATCAATGCAATGTTTCGTGGACCCTGGACATACTTGAAAACAAGAGAAATCTCAATGTATCTTTCCTGGTAGAATATTTTATCATTAATAAATAAATTCACTTTTGACATCATTACAAACAATTCTCACGTAAGCGAATAACCCTGAATATACTATCAGGGTTATTTACTAAAATGAGAATTCAAAGTGAATTTCAAATTGTAGGCTTGAGTAGCTGAGCTGAAAACATAGAGAGTTTTTCCAGTTTGGTTATTCCGATTTTAAATTCACTTTGATTTTACCTTGTATTCTCTCTTTCTTGAATAACCCTGCAGTTGTTAATATGCAATTTGTAGAAGTATCACAGAGCTCTGCAGCACTAAAACTCACAGTAATATGCAGTGTGTAAAAATGTATCGCAGATCTCCGCAGCACTAAAACTCACAGTAATATGCAGTGTGTAAAAATGTATCGCAGATCTCCGCAGCACTAAAACTCACAGTAATATGCAGTGTCTATGATTGTATTAAAGAGCTCAGCAGCAGTGGCGTCACAAGGGGGGTGTGACCGCACGAGGGTGCATCTCGGAGGGGTGGAGTGACACCACCAGGTGGAGTGACACAAGCGGCCGCCTTAGGGCTCACCAGCCTGGGGGGCGCTAGATTGGAGTGACCGGCAGGAGGTGAGCGCACAGCATTCCCTCCTGCCAGTCACTCAGTGTAGCGTGGCCAAGCAGAACAGACTGCAGTACAGGAACTTCTGTTTTCTGTACACTGCTGGACTGAAAAGAAGTGCTCACTGAGAGAGACACTCTGGGACAGGAGAGGTGGGGAGGAAAGAACACTATGGGACAATGGAGGTCGAGGAGGAAAGAATACTATGGGACGGGGGGAGGTGAGGTAAGAACACTATGGGACAAGGGAGGTGGGGGAGGAAAGAATACTATGGAATGGGAGGGGGGGGGAGAGAATACTATGGAATGGGAGGGGGGTGGAGAGGAAAGAATACTATGGGACAGGGGGTAGGAAAGAACACTATGGGACAGGGGGGAGGGAGGGTAGGAAAGAACACTATGGGACAGGGAAGGGGGAGGAAAGAATACTATGGGACAGGGGAAGGAGGGGGTAGGAAATAACACTATGGGACAGGAGAGGGGAGAGGAAAGAACAGCATGAGACAGGGGAGGAGGGGAGGAAAGCACTATGGACAAGGGAGGTGGGGGAGGAAAGAATACAATGGAATGGGAGGGTGGGTGGAGAGGAAAGAATATTATGGGACAGGGAAGGGGAGAGGAGGAAAGAATACTATGAGACGGGGAGGAGGGGAGGAATGAACACTATGGCACAGGGGAGGGTGGGAGAATACTATAGGACAGAGGACGGGGGAGGTGAAGTAAGACACTATGGGACAGGGGAGGGGTGTGGGAGGAAAGAATACTATGGGACAAGGGGAGGGGGAAGGAAAGAACACTATGGGACAACACAATGGGACGGGAGGGAGGGAGAAAAAAACCCTATGGAACAGGGGAGGGGGGATTGGAAAGAACATTATGGAACAGGGGAGGAAAGAACACTGTGGGACGGGGGGAGAAAGAACACTATGGGATGGAGGGAGAAAGAACACGATGGTACAGGGGGGAGAAAGAACAATATGGGACAGGGGAGAGAGAGGAACATTAAGGGTGGGGCACTCAAGGTATAGGGAGGAAGGAAAGGAACACAGGTAGGAGAGGACCACCAAAAGAGAAGGCAGAGAAACACCAACGGGAGGAACATTACAAGAATGGGGCACTCAAGAGACAGGTAGGGGAGAAAGAGGATCACCATGGGACAGGAGGGGAGGGGGGGAGGAAAGAATACCATGGGACAGCGGAGGGGGAAGGCGGAGGAAAGAGCACCATGGAACAGGAGGGGAGGAGGAAAGAACATGGGACAACACAATGCCACAGGAGGGGAGAGTGAAAGAACACTATGGAACACGGAGGGGGGGAGGAAAGAACATTATGGGACAGGGGAGGAAAGAACACTATGGGACAGGGAAGGGGGAGAGAGAGGAACATTAAGGGTGGGGCACTAAGGTAAAGGGAAGGGAAAAGGAACACAGGTAGGAGGGGACCACTAAAAGAGAAGGGAGAGGGACACTAAGAGGGGGGAGAGGAACATTAATAAGAATGGGGGGCACTAAGAGACAGGTAAGGCGGGGAAAGAGGAACACTAAGGGACAGGGGATGGAGAGGGACACTAAGGGACAGGGAAGGGAAGGGAAGGGAGAGGAATACTAAGAGACAGGGGAGGGAGGGGAGAGGAACATTAAGGGACATGGAGGTGGGTTGGGGTGACACCCTGAGTTACTGCACTGGGTGACACCAACCCTAGTGATGCCACTGCTCCGCAGCACTAAAACTCACAATAATATGCAGTGTCTATGATTGTATTACAGAGCTCCGCAGCACTAAAACCCACAGTAATGTGCAGAGTGTATAAATGTATCACAGAGCTCCATAACAATAAAGCTCACAGGAATGTCTGGTGTATAGAAGAGCCCGGCAAAAATAAAATCCATAGTAATATGTAGCGTATATATGAGTCTACAGAACTATAAACATATTTAAAAAAACATTTTTTTTTTTTTTTTGCCAGTATTGGCCAAAATATTTGGCATTCCCATTCAGAGATTGGATTCTGGAGCAGCAAGTACACTCTAAACCAGGGGTTCTCAACATTAGTCCTCAGGACCCCCTACCACTCCAGGGTTTAGGGATTACCTGGGTGTGTCTAAGGTGTTTAGAAAAAGAAAAAAACAACAACTTAGAGTCTAAGGTGTTTGTTTCCCTTTTTCTAAACACCTGAGACACACCCAGGTAATCCCCAAATCCTGGACTGGTAGGGGGTCCTGAGAACTGGGTTGAGAACCCCTGCTCTAAACAGACAAGTAACCTGACACTTTATACACCAGTGGGTCTAAATCTGTGAGCCCCCCATGCAATGTCACTGGGTCCCTATTGTCTAGAACAGACATTTAAATTTAGGGGCCGTGGGAGTCACCATATCACAGTCTGGAAACCAAGAGATTCCAGTCTGGCAACTTAAATTTAAATACCTGATTTTTTCACTCATCTCAGATTTTTCACACACAGAGTCCCTTGAAGTCTCCCCACAACAGCTATAGGAGCCATCTACGTAATTTTCCCGGTGATTCATCCTTTGTTCAAACGCGGTCCTAATAGTCTGCTGTAATGCAGGCAGTTTCCTCCACACCACCGATTTATAACTTAAACAACGTGAGGCTTGGGAAATGAGCAATCCTGGACGCAAATCGGTGCTCAAAGATTCACATTTTGTAAAGAATTCTGGTATCAAACAAGCAACATTAGACGTATATTGTATGCATCCATCACACTTCACAAATATTACGTTTTGTAGAACTTTGATCAAGTTTTCTACTAAAGAGACAGAAATTAAGGGGCAGCTTGACCTTAACAGCCAGACAGGATCAGCATAATCCACCAGGAGACAGTCCTTTTTCTTCAGAGCATCAATCAAGATCTTGATTGTTTTTGTTCTGGCATCTTTGGCTAATATACTCTCAGCCATGGACAATGAGCCCCATAAGTTGGATCGATCCATGGCTGCAGGACAGCAGACACTGGTGATTATCGTAGAGGACAGACTATGCTGCGGTGACTGCAGCACGCAACTGGTTTATATGAAAAGCTACAAATTAGTTTCACTTTCCTTTTCTCCACAAGAACAGAGTTTCTATTCATAATAATGTACACATTCTTTAATGAGTAAGGACTTTAATCTTTCATAAATCTTAATGACATGAATCAACTCATATTCTGATCAATGTTTCTATTGGCCAAAGGTTGGCGGATACTTCATATATAGAACTTCTCTAAATATATATGAAATCAGGAAGGCTGCATTTACTTATTTGGGAGTCCAGGCCAACTCCCATGGTTTTGCACCTGTCCCTATCACAGGTGCCTCATTTAAAGGCACTATTTAATCTTGCACTGCAGAGAGCCCAGGAGGAAGGATTTCACAAGTGAGTGGGTTCATCTCATAAAATCAGGCAGAAGCGTAACTAGGGACTAGGTGCAAGAAACAAAAAAAGCTCCCCCCCCCCCGCCCCCTCTCCCATTGCTCTCCCCTAAGTAATATACCTGAGATGTGGGATATGTGAGATACATGTGGTGGCTGTGTGTGATTCTGTGTGGGGCAAGGATGAGTGTGATTGTGTGTATGTGTGTGGCTGGCTGTGTGTAATATGGGATTTGGCTGCCTGTGAGTGTAGAGTGATTGGCCAATGTGCTAGGGGTCACTTTCCTAAGCATGGCAATCCCCCGTGCTGACATTAACAAGCACCCATACTCCCCCAGCAAGCACCCAGTGGCTTACTAAGCGGTCACCGAAATGAAGCAGAGAACAAACATCTCACCTGATAAAGCCGACAGGCGAAATGCGTCTCAGAGCAGGACCACCTGCAATTGAGGACTGGTATCACTAGGCACTTTCCATATATATATTTTATGTTTTGCTGTTTAATAAAGTGTATTTTAAGTGATTCCTGCTCTCAGAGGTCCTGCATTGTTCTCTGCTTACATCGTTCAAGAAGGGCAGTGCTCTCCTTATAAGCACATTCACTGGTATACAGAGAGCCTAGTATAATAGTTTTCCGTTTCTCTCTTTTTGTCTCCCCATTTGGAGAAACATCTGACCAAGGACCAAGAGAGGGTTTGGTATTACCTAATATACCTCTGTGCAAGTGAATTGAGCCTATCCATATGGTCCACACTTTCTTTTAAGCACCCTGTGAGGCTCGATTTACTTCACCATTGTATATATATCTTTTTTCCCCTGTAGGCAATTGTGTACTTCCCCATATTGTATAGGGGTAAGTTCACTCTGTCTCTGCGCTCCACAAAGTGTACTCTTTTGGTGGTTTGTTCCACCCAGGTTACCTGTTTTGTCAATACTATTGTTGTGTAATATTGGGGGTATTTACACGTGTGTAGAGCTGCTGCCTATCCATCTACGGTTTATTTGATAACCCATTAAGCGCCTTTTACACACAGATCACTCTTTCTATATTGTTCTACAGATTTATAATATTGTTTGTTCTTCATGCTCGTTTCTGGATGTCGTGTTTCTACACGATGTGCAAAGTTTAACCTTTCTCAAATTCTGTTAGATAATAATTGCTTGTAACAGCTATGTTTTTACATGCTGTTCCATTCTTTACCTTTACAATACCCAGGCCGAATGTTGGCCGTTGTCCTCCCCTCATTTCTTTGTGATATTTTATCAGCATCATAACAAACAAACAAACAATACAATACTATCACCACAAATACGTAAAAACTAGTCAGCGGTGAGTATTCAATATACTTATCTAAACAAGTCAAGTAGACAGCCTCCATAAGATCACCTCCCAGGTGGTAATCCTATTAGACCAGAATATAAGCAACAAACGTTTGGGATACGGCTGTGATTCTAAAGAGAACATAAACATAACAAAGTGTTATACAGTCAAACAATGAAACGTGTGCTGTAAATGTTTGCACTCACAAGATATGGATGTATAAAGCCCTCAATGGGTGCCTCCCCTGATGTTGTGGGGGGCTGTATGTTCCTTCTCCTTGGTCTGCGGATGTAGCAGGAAAAACAGGACTCCAGATAGGAATGTATAAAAAACATGGCTGGTTTTATTGAATAAAATCGGTGAAAAAACACCAGAATAAATGCTATCAAAACAGCAACAGGATTGGTCTTACGCGTTTCGTTCCCCAATTGGAACTTCCTCAGAGACCATAAAATCAAAAACAAGTTACAAGTAGTGATGTCGCGAATTTTTCGCGAACGGTTCGCGAACGGTTCGCCACGGTTCGCGGCGGACCGTTCACGGCGGACTCCAGTCAGCAGATACATTCCGGCCAATCAGCAGCAGACCCTCCCTCCCAGACCCTCCCACCTCCTGGACAGCATCCATATTGAAGCTGCATTACTTGTAACTAGTGATGTTGCGAATTTTTCGCGAACGGTTCGCGACATCACTAGTTTCAAGTAATAGTACAAATAACAGCCTAAACATCCCCACCCAAGAGTTCCTAAAAATAGGGCTAATCCCTAAGTCCATTGGTTGCGCTGAGGGTGTTCACCTTTTTAATGATTCCATTGGCTCCCTTCTCCTGTCCGATCACCTGTTCTATCAGCATCATCTGTTATCACCATGGTGATGGTGTTGGTATTAGTTGTTGCCGCGGCATTTGTCTGTTCTTATCTTTTTGTTTTTCCATGAAACATTGTCACGCAGCTTATGATGTGTATAGAGTGGAGATCGATAATGATAATTATTCTTATATTCTTTTATGGAATAAATTAGTTGATAGCATTTCCAAGACATTGTCTTAAGGAACATGGGTTCCATTATATAAGAATTATTTGAAGCAGCAAAGTATTTACCACATTTGTTCTCAATGATATGTAAAGTTACATTGTCTTTACATTTTAGAAATACTCTTTAATTCAAAATCTTTCGATTTATTTAGAATAGTTGATAATTGGAAACAAGAATTTACAAATTTTTCTTTGCCCTGATAGGGATAAGACTTATTCCCTAAGTTACAATTAGGAAATAAAATAACTACAGTTATTAGTGGCTTAAAATACCAGAAACACACAAAAATTGTCTTAAAAACATTTTTTACCAAGACCTGACAGCCATTGTGGAAAGTCACGTTCGTGAGATTGGATGCTTAACAATATGATTCTTATTTGTTTAAGCATATTTTCCAGCGGCTGTTGGGTGGAGCTTACGGCAATTTTGTATTTTTTTATTTTTTTTTAAAGGAGTCAAGAATGCACTAATGCATAGTAACTTTACAGATATTGAAGGAATCTATATTTTACCGACACCTGTTGAATATTTGTATCGGGGTGTCTTAACATTTTTTTCTTTTTTGGCAATCTTCGTTTTTATTGAAGCACAGTATGTATACAGACAGAGAATAAAGAATTGTAAAGCTTACAGACATCAAGCATATTGTCGCACATACGGCAATGCTCCCTCCCTGTTTCCCTCCTGTATTTCCCTACCCAGTCTCTGTGAGTAACTAAACAACCGAGCGCAACTGCGCGAACTGAACTTTAGAACATGTTCCGTGCATCTCTACGGGGGGAGAGTATTCCTCTTGTTTTCCTCCCTTTCATTCCCCCCCCCTTTTCCACTTTGGGGGGGGGGGGGACTAAGCTCTCCTCCCGCTTTCGTCCTGCTCGAGAATTTGGCTTGAGAGAATGACTCTACGTTAGAAAGTCAGTGACCAATATCTGTCCGGGGTGTGTCAGTGTAAGGTTAGTCCTACGTGGTATGGGAGAGGAGAAGTAGAGAAGCAGAGAAGAAGAAGGGAAAAAAAAAAAGGGGGGGTAGGTGAGGAAGGGAAGGGGGATGTCGACCAGGGCGGGGGGAAGGGAAGGGGTGGATCCGCCAGCCCCCCCACACCCCACGTCCCAACCCCGCGCGTGCCAGCGTTCACCCCGCTATTCGGCCCCCCGCTCCGGCCGTCCTGCAGGCCCACGAGCCATGTATTCTATCCAGGGAGCCCAGAGGCGAGTACATTTCTCCCCTGTACCTCTCAGTTCCGCCGTGAGGCTCTCCATGCTGTATATTTCCTCAACCTTCTCCATCCAGTTCGCAACCGTTGGGACGGTAGTTGACTTCCAGCGAGCCGGGATCAGGCTCTTGGCGGCGTTCAAGAAGTGTCTCGTCAGCGACTTCTTGTAGGCCCCTAGGGGCATCGTAGTGTGGTGGAGGAGCATCGGTAGAGGCTGCATCGGGACGTCCGAGTCCAGTAGCTCTCGTAATTTCGTGTGTATTTGTTGCCAGAAGGGTACGATGAGAGGGCAGGACCACCAGATGTGCAGGTCCGTGCCGTCTTCGGACTCACATCTCCAACATCTGGCCGTTGGCGACAGGCCCATCCGAAAGAGTTGTGAGGGTGTCCGATACCAACCTGTCATGAGCTTATAGTTCATCTCTTGCAGTTTCGCACTGGTCGTACCTTGGTGCGTGAGGGTGTGTATCTTCTCCCAGTCTGAGTCCGCGAGAGTGACACCCGTGGCTCGTTCCCAGTTAGATTGGTATGGTGCCGGGGGGCTCCGAGCTGCATTCAGCAGCATGGAGTACAGTGTGGAGACCCCCTTAGGTATGCGCCTCCCCTCCGCGCAAAGAGATTCGAAGCCGGTCAGCTCCCTATGTACCAGCTGCTTGCCCGGTAGAGATTGGTAGAAATGCCGAACTTGTTGGTATCTGAATCGAGTTAGCCCAGGTAAGGGCATCATGGGGGCCAGGGCTTCCAGGGGTTTCAGCTGACCCTCCGCGCATACTCCGGGCTTCCCAAGCCTGTGATGTCTCTCGGCGCCAGCCCTCCCGCAATCTCGGGGTTGTAGATCACCGGGAGTAGCGGGGATGGGCTAGTCGTTAGGCCCAACCTGTAGCGGACAGTAGCCCACACTTGCAGAGTTGCCCCTATAAGCAGGTGCCTCCGGATGTCCCTCGTCTGTATGGGCCGCAGTAGCCACGTGACCCAAGGTATGCGCTCTTTGGCTTGTGCGCGTTCTAGGTG